ATTCCTAGCGGAACGGAATTACTATACTTACTGTCATTAGTTACAATTCTATCTTTTTATACTTTTTTCGAAGTTAAATATCCAATTATGCGAAAATCGCAAGCTCCATTTACAGATAAAAACAGCAAAAGTGATGGAGTTTCTCTTAGTTGAGAGTAATAAAATCTCTTTTCGTTAAACATCAACTCTTCTAGGACAAGAAAGCTTTTGAAAAAAGTAGTAGCCCAATTGATTTTGAATTGTCCATTATTTCCCAATGCTCAAAATAATTTAGCTAGTAAACGGCCCATAGTTCAAAAATTCTTGGCTACGCCACTGCATCGGATACTATTTCTCATCCATTGTTTTTTTATCATTCTTTTCAAAATAAAAAGGCTATTTTCTCTTGTTGATAAGAACAACAAAAACAAAAATATCGTCAGTTTGATTTTTTTTTCATAAAGTCTATGATTCACTTTCTGAAAATGTGAACGAAATAAAAAGAAAAGTCACTTCAATTTTGATTGAAACAACAATAGAATAACGATTTTTACGTGTTAATATATACTGTACTAGTCATTAAAGAGTGAATCGAGTGAAAAAGAAACCTGTTTACATTTTACTTAACCTTTCGTTATTTCTATCGTGCTTCACGGTTACTGCAATAAGTAATTATGAATGACCTAATTGGAATTTCAATATAATTGTAGATCAAAATGCCAATTGTGTATTCAAAATTTAGTATAGGAGTTTAATAAGTGCCTTTCCTATAGATATAGTAAACAAGTAAAAGTTATATTTCCATGATCATTCGAAATCTCATACAGAAAAACATTCTTGTTTATTGACGGTTAAACAAAATCGGTTCCTATACCATTGAACAGAGTCATTATTTGTAGAAATTTTGTACGTACTCTCTTAACAGGCTACTTCTGGAGAATTTTTCTCATGATTAATAGCATGTTATATAATTTTTGTGCTCAAATAACTTCATTTTTTATATCTATATTTGTTTAGAAAATCAATAGAAGTTTAATTTTACTAACACAACTCATAATTTATTCAAGTTGACTTAAAGATACCTGACAATAGATATTGCAAAATCAATTCATTGCTTTTGTATCATAATGTCAAATAATTGCGGAAGAAATTTTCTGATTTATTTTATTGTCAATAAATATGTTTTTTCTTTGCTTATGATAAAAATTCACATTCCATCGAGTTAATAAGTAGTCAAATAAAAAGATTCAGAAATGAAAAATCATTCATTTCATGACAAGTCTATTGTGTAAATCATATCAAATGACCAAACAATATCTATTCACAACGTCTAATTTGTTATATGACAGGAAGTGTAAACTTTAAATCCCCATAAACAACTATAAATGCATCGTTATTCTAGTTTTTCTGAGAAAAACTTCAAATAAGTAGTGGCATAATTTTCGTACTCTATATTAGGAGGGCTACCGAAATTTAGCTTTTTTCTAAAGCTATTGGATTTATTCGAAGTAATGGGATTTATCTTTTAATAGTAAGTAACATATTCCAATACGAATAAAGACGACTCAAAGCTCAGAAGCAGTAGCTTTTGTTGTTAAGTTAACTTCAAACTTCGATCTCATCTTCGCTTTGACTTTTAGATAGGTCCTCAAACGTTGTCTTCACTTTCATTCTGATTCTTTTCAGATTATTTTAAAACAACACTGAGATTAAATAATAAAATCTAAAAACTTCTGGAAAAAATAAAGTTTTTAATATGTTAATGCAAAGCAACATACGTTAAATATCGTGCAAAATGTTATTCAAGAAAAGGAAAAGTTGTGAACAAATAGTCAATGATTTTAGTAAAATTCAAAGTATATTATTTATTCAATTGTGAATGAGCTGTATTAGATGTTTTTTTTTCGATTAAGGAACAGCTTTTACATTTTTTTAACGAGTTTTCATTGCCTAATTATTTTTTATTTTAGTTTTACTTAACGTTATGAAGGACAAGATTATTCTCCTTCAAAATAAAGATTCTTTACGTATATATACAGAGTGAAGTTTATTTCTTTCTTTCTTTCTTTTTATTATTTAGGAAGATTTTCAATTTGTTTTTTAAGGTAATTTAAAATGTTAATTCATTCTTGAGAAATTTTAAAGTGTTCTAGAGTTGGAGAAGATTGTTCAACGATGAAAATGATCCTCTTTCAAATTCGAGTTTCTTGTTTTCTCAATTCTCAATTGAGACATCAGAAGTCGATTGTAGTTCGATTTAGTGTTGAACGTTGTTTCAGCTGACTTAGAACGCAATATTATCGATCTTGTAAAGTGCTATATTATGTAGTATTTATATGGAAGATTCGTCTCCTTTCTTCAGCTTCTTTAAGTGAAGTTTTATATCAGATGAAAACTCGCTCTCTTCGCTATCGAATCGAAAATATGAGTATGACAAAATATTATTATTTTTACTTTTGTGAAACACGATCTCAGAGGAGTGTTGAAGTATTTAGAATAGAAGTTTGCATCAACTCCCTATTCCTCACTACAAATCGTGAAAGACGGCCTTTAGAGATCATAACATATTGTATATTACTAACATCTCGTTAGAGTATATGAACTACTTTCTTATTTGTAGTTCTGAAGGATCAAGAAAACGATGATGAAAAAATGTGTCTCAGAATAGATAGAATAAAAGAGGTTTTATGTAATCAGCAGCAACAACTACATCGTTTTTCCCCATTTTAATCTCACAAGAATTGTGCTAACAGCTTTTTCTTTGAGATGATATTGTTCGCTTGTATCTACAATATGAGGATAGCCATGAAAAACGTCTTTCACTGATGCGTTGTGAAAGCAGCGAACCACTATGAATTATATAGGATTGAATAAGCTTTTTAAAACTCTACAAAATGATATCAATGCATTAAGCTTGATTTGAAGACAAAACATCTTCGTCAAATACATAATGTTCATGACTACCAAAAATACTCTTTTGACTGACATTTGACAGATTTTGCTCAAAATAAGTATGCTTTCTATCAAAACAAACGATATATTTAGAATCAACATAAAAAATTGAGTTGACTTATCTGTGCCACTAAATTCTTCAGCAATCTTTATTTTTGTCTAAGAATTCGGCAATGGTTCTCCTAATTGTTACATCGAAAAATAAAATCTGTCAAAACGTAATAATGTTTTGCTTGACTTCATATTTCGGCATAATTCTGAGGTGAGCTAGTGCGACATATTTGGATAAAAAGAAATAGTATTGAAAGATATTGTGACATATAGATCAACTCAGCTTTCTTCGCTAATTCCATATATGCTATTGTTTTTGATAAAAAAAAACGTGATTACTCTAAATAAAATCCGTCAAATATCACTCAATAAAGGCAACTTTTTGTGTTTATGAAGAGAACGTATGAAGTTTTGTGTCGACCATACTCAACTATAATGAGGTCTAATTACCTCATTTAAAAGGGAATTGACTTCTAACTTTTGAATTGACTATTGAGAAAATAATAAAGTCAATTTTGTGTAGGATGTGATTTGATTATACAATGACCATCTTTCCCACCTTAGAATTTATTCTGTAAGAAGGTAAGGTATTTCCATCTTATTCATGTGAGACTGATTATTGTGTCGCGTATATCATATTACAAAAAAGTGCTAATAAAAAAATACCAAAAAAATAAAAAGCTGTATATTTATTACCAATAATTTTGATCCTACGCTTTTGTCTATAGCATATCGTTCTCGTTTTGTTTTTACAATTGTTAGTAATCTGTAATGTTGTAATTCGCATTGCGAAACATGAGAAATTGGCATATTTTGAAATTTTCGTGTCTTTGACAGTTATTCAACCGAACAAAGCAAAAACGTAAATACTATCACAAACGAAAAAGAATATCTTGATCTCAGTGATATATGATATCTATAAGAAAACAAGTTGACTTAGAAATCTGGAGGTAGAGAGACATGACAAAATTCTGTAGGTGGAAGGAGAATGAGAGAGAAAATAAAATAAAAAAAGCATCAAGTTTTTGATTATCTTTTACAATATATTGATTCTCGTTGAAATAAAATAGGTGGATATCAATAAACTGGTGGCAATAATTCGTTCCTGCATAATCTACTTATTATCCTGAATTATTTCTATTATGAATCATTGTTAGATAGAAGATTTAATTATACATATTAGCTTATTTTCTCATTATATAATAGTCCACATGCTATGAATAGTTAAATTTTCACAAACTACCCATAAATATCTTTGATGTTTACATTTAAACATAATGTTCGTTTTTTATAGATTGATTTCACAATCATATCTAAAAAAATTTCTTGACTACAGTTTCTTTTGAATTATCTTTCTACAGACAAAAAAAAATATAAGAACTACTAATGTATATTTATATATTTGTTTGATACTAATCTGCGCAAATACTTTCATAAACTATATGATCGATAGGAATTGTAGACCTTGCGCTTTAACTTAGTCAAACAAAAACACAATCGTTGTGTAAAAGCTTAATATTTTTTAACTGTCATAACCAGTGGCGTACGCAGAAATTTTTCAAGGGGGGGGGCCCCAACTTCGTAGGAGGGGGGCCGGCCATGGCACAAAAAATTTTTTATCACGTGAAAATATTTTTTCCTGTACCCCCCTCCAGGACTTTTTCGTCTCAGGGGGGGGGGCCGGGTCCCCTCGGCCCCCCCTGCGTACGCCACTGGTCATAACGAAATGGAGAAAAAAGATCATTTAAAATTTGATTTATTTGTAGAACAAAAATTGTCGTCAGAATTTAATAATGCTATTGTTTAAATCATATTTGACAATGATTATTACACTTGTCTTAGGTAATTACTTTTTTTCTCTAAAACTTTCTAATATACTTATTATAACTATGATTATTATTATAGTTTTTGATCACATTATTACATTATCTTCAGAATCAGTCTCAAGCCAGATATGGTCCAATATTATTCACGAACTTTCATCGAAGATACATGATTATAAATCAGACGATACAACAATGAATGATCATCCACTTAATGAAGAATTCATGTTACTTTCGAATAACCGTAAACAACCTTCGTCAACACCATCTAGTTCAACTTCTCTAATTGTAATTAATCGAATTTCTACATTACATAGTATTTCATCAACAACATGTAAGACTAAAACGATACTAGAAAACTCAAATTATACCATGCCTTCGATTGGTGATCATCTTGGTAAACAAGTATCAAATGAGCCAAATTCTGATAATGATATTGAAACATCATCAAAACAAACGCGAATAGATGATGATAGTGATGAAATTGAAAGCTTCATGAAAGTTGATGACGCTGTGTTAAGTATACAATTAGTTAGTATTGGATTTACAGTTGATGGCAGTGGTGAAAGTATGTTTAAATTGAACAATAAACTTTTTAGAAAAAAATATTCTTGTCTTTTGTCTTATAGCAACAGAAGAAACAACAGAAGGAACATCTGGTAAGCAATATTTTCCCAATAATCTAATCAAATATTTAATGTCTCATGTCACACGTTTCTCTGCAATATCGCAATTAAGCCATTCGGTAGTGCTTAGAACTTTTAGTTCCAACTATAAACCATTTCAGAAGCTGTTTTCTATCTAAATTAGAATTAATCGAGAAGAAAACAGTTTCAGAATATATGTTAATATCAAATATTTTTGCAGCATCATCTATCTAAGGAAACAACATTATCTCATAACTTTGGTCGATTCGAGTTTTTACAGCTAGTACAGGCACCTAAGATGATGTGTTCGATTTTGTCAGTTTAAACAGGCTTCAAAAATATTCACCCGTTTTGATACAGTTCATCATGATACAACACTTTCAAAAAAAAAATCCGGTGGAAATTACTTGGTAGTTATCGTCTACGATAAAACTGAATTATCAGAAATTGACATGCATGAGATTAAAATCCGAGACTATATGAAATGCTTGACTTTGTGTACTTTTTAAATGAAACCTTTCGTACATTATAAATCAATTTATTATTTTCATGCTAATATCGTATAATACAGAAAAAACACATAATAATATATAAGATAACATAAATATAACTAAAACCTGTAAATATTAAATCCTAATCAATAAACAAACCACAATTATATACGCATCTATATAAAGAATATAAATGGTTTCCTCATTATAAACACCATAACAAATCTTCGTCATCGTCTTTAGATAATTATCTTTTTTTCAGTTGTGAATATGGCTGTGATAAATCTTTTAATAATACACATCTACTTGAAAACCATGATGGAAAAACTCTCTCGTCTGATTTGATTCACAAAATCATTTTTAAAAAGTTCTATTTTTATTTAACAACATGATTTTATCTATTTGGTTCAGTTTGTAATCGTGTTCTTTTCCATATAACTGTTACACTTGAGTAGACATGTGTAGGATCACTGCGAAAAAACTACTGGGATCCAGACTTACTCAAAAAAACTCTATGAGGATCGCAACCACCATGATAAACTAACCAGGACCTGAGCTATCCAGAAAAATTTAGTGCGACCGAGAATAGAAGCACACCAATTTTACCGTGACTATGAACGAGACCATTCAGATGACAGCTACTGAGACCATAAAAAACTGGGTCTGATTCATCTTTAACCAAGAAACATGATTTACCTATTTAAGATATCTTTCATATCAGTATTATCGCTGTCTCATATCATTAGATTTGTTGAACTTTTTGCTTACTGTCAATGAAATTCATTTCAACCATTATAGAGATTACTACAATGTCCAGTGAGACAGCAACGAGTCAGTCAATTCCAAGCAGTTCAGCTACTTCTGCAACCAGTTTAGAAATCACTATAACATCGAGTGAATCAATTACAAGTCAACCGGTCACAACCCATACACCAATATCTACAACTACTCCATCGGAGTCGCCAAGTAGTTTTTCTGTATTTAAAATTTTAAACTTTATTCATAATATTGTTTTCATAGATCTCCCTAATAATACAATTGTCATTATGACGATTAATTGCACAAATGCAAGTGATACATTATTTTATGTAGGTTATTGTTTTTTCAACGTTATTCTAATATCTATTTTGATTATATTAGATTTTAACAAGAATCAATACAACAATTCCTTTCACTTATATTGTATCACCGAATTATAATCAACTTACGTATGTAAAAGCATATCAAAATTATTCACGAAAAAAAATTCTGCTTTAAAATTTAGTTGTAATGGGACGTCAGTTGATGTAACATTAAATTTTAATACTATTGATAATATTAATACGATAAATGAGTTGTATGAAAACCTTGAAAATATAACATCATCTGTGGGAGTTCCACTAGTTACATTTAATACGTGTGGTAGAAATGAAACAGGTAAATAATTTAATTTCATAAAGCATCATATATGTAAAAAAATAGATTCTTCTTTGTTATATTTCATATTTTGATTAACTTTTTTCCATGTAGAACCAGTTATAAATGTCACATCATGTTTTCTTATTAATCTATGTCGATTATGTGGAACTCCTCCACGTGGTGTATGCTTACCAGAAGATGGTGTAAGTAAATGTAAATGTTTTATCAATACTGATGATCCGTCAAGACCTTATGTTGGCGATCGTTGTTTACCAGCGGATCCAATAAAACTTAGTACTGCTCCTCGTTGGACACCAATTATAATTGGTATTATAGCTGGTTTAGCTAGTCTATGCTGTGCTATAACATGTTGCCTTTGGACTATAGCTATTTGGCGTCGTCGACGAAATCTTAATAAGTAAGAAATTCCATTCCATATGTTACATTTAACGTAATTTTTGTTTATATTTAATTAGAGATGAACTAAGAATTTTTCGTTTATGGCATTTACCAAGAGCTCAAATACCAACGTCGGGTACACAAGAAAATGTTCCAACTTACAGGCCTAATACACCGTCTACGTATAGTAGTAATCGAACTGAATCGGATCAGGATCCAAATAATACAGCAGATAGTGCATTTTTTAAAGAACTTGATCAAAAAATGGGTGAAAATCTACGTGCGACAAGAACAAGACCAAATGCAAGTGCTATATTAGCAAGTTTACCATCAGATACAATATCAACAATAAGTAGTAATGATTCAATTGATGAACTTGATGCAATTATTGATAATGAAGATTTAAATTTAACATTTCATGATTCATTAGATGATCTTTATGAAGATAATGAAATACTTGAAGCTGTAAATCCAAATGTTAAATTACCAAGACCAAATGTTGACTCGAAACCTTCAGGCCTTTTTTCCGTATGATAAATTATTATGTATATATTTCTATATATATTTATTTCTTTTTGTAGTTTTTATTTTAATTCTTTTATAGAAATTCTTAATTGAACAATTAACATCGCTCATGAAATATTGAACATTTCAAATCATTTATTTTCTGGTGATTAGAACTTCTATTTTTTGATTAATCTCATAGACATATGTATATTTTTATCTGTTTGCCTATGTAGTGAACTTGCTTTTTTTGTTCACAATAAATCAACAGATTCTTACAATAATTTATATATCAACTGGTTGATGACAGTTGAGAAGAAAAGTCATTTAACTCAATTGAATAAAGACAGTATCTCTTCCGTATTAGGATTGTTGTTTTTTCTTCGTGATGTTTCGATATAGGCGATGCCTTCTTCAGACATTAATTAACAAGAAAATGATAAAGATACACACAATAGAGTCTACTGAATTCAAAATATTTGGATCGGTTTCGGATACTCTTTCTCAGCATGCGAGATATTTTCTTTCGGCTTTTTGTATTCGATAACTAACGCATCTTACACATTTCTCAGATAACTAGAGCCTATTAAGTCCAAAACTTCCGAACCCGACCGAGTTTGAGATCTATTCGATCGACTCTGACACACATGCAATCATTCTTTTATGTACATCTTACGAAAAATAGTCAAGAGTTTTATAGTTAAAAGAGAAAAAAATCATTCAAAAGTAAAGTTTTTTATTGATACGATTAAATTGATCAAGGACAAAATAAAACACTCAAGTGATGGACAAATTTCAATTCTTGAACTTGACATTGTAACTGTGTATTTTTGCATTATTAATTTTGCATATTTTTACATAAATTAATACTTTTATTCCATTTTTTTCATGATCTATTCCAGCTAACTCTGATTAATTCTAAGCTAAGAACTCGGATTGAAATAAGTGCATCCCTAGAACAGAGAGAAGCAAGATAGAAATTGTAGACTATTATCGAAAAAACCGCATGTTGCGATTCCTAGGTATTAATATAGATTATAGATATCTTAAAAGTAGCATCCGAAGTTAATGATTTCGACGCCTAGATAGGTCAATTTCCGACCGAAAACGATCTCTATTTCTTGACCAGGGATATATACTCTTAGTAACGGATCTTATTTTGCATTAGATTGTAAACTATTCCAACAGCTTGCCTTACATATTCTTCTGAAAAGGTGACATTTTGACTATAACGGACACAATAAACGAACTTTTATTATACTGTTAAGACTCTGTTTATCGTTTCCATAGAAAAATTAGTGTTAAAACTTATAGACAATGCGAACATGATCGAAAATTTAAATGTAAATGTTGAACACACACTTATATATGAAGAGTTTCTTTTTAATAATTCGTTTCGTGTTACATCATTCAATGAATACATATAGTGTTATTTTATCTTGTTTTCGAAAGTGAGAATTAAAATTGTCGATAAAAAAATTCTTAAGATGAATTTCCTGGCTAATTTTCGAATCTCCTAATTTTCACTATTCAATTTTCCTGAATATCTTTTGTTTTACTACCGAAGCAATGATCTTTTAGTGTATGTACTCAACTGCTAAATGAAGACGCTTATTTCTACGTTTGATGGCGAATAATGAAGTGTAAATTTTTATTAATGATCTTGACTTCTGTTTTTTTTTGTATTCTTGTGTCTATTTGTGTTTCAATGTGTAGTCAAAGTGATGATATGTTCCAAGGATACAAGCATCTTATTCAAACGTGATGAGGCAATATTGGGACAAGAAAAAAAATTCATTCTTGTTTTAATCTCCGTTGAAGACTAACGATCTTTGTCGATATAAAATAGAAAATTATCATGTTGCTCACATTTCATTTCTATAGTGATTTATAACTACACATTCTACAACTTTGTTAAATTAAAAACAATTGATTCACTGCTGTAACCATTAAGAATACAATTATTCACAATGATCAATGATTCAAACATGAAACTTCAAATTCACATGCCGTCATTTAATTCGACGATGCAATCATGCGAAATTAATTTTAACTAAACTATTCAATTTCAATGAAAATCTTCAACGAACCAATAAACAGATTAAAACTAAACATAATCGTTTCACTAACTAATAAATGTGATGACACAATTTCAGAAGAAAAAAAAAACCTAAGCTTGAAAATTACATGTTGTCTATAAACATTTTTATACAGTATCCTTTCATAAATTTCAATATAAAGTAATCCGAAAGTTTTAAATTGTCTTAGAAACATTTCTTTTTCTTCCTTATTACAAATTTAGAAATACCCAAATGTTGTCATCCAATTTCTTGCAACTAGATGAATATTATTCAAAATTTTCATATATCTATCTTCACTAATAATGAAGATATTAAGATTTCTATTTCATATAAGCGTTTTTTTATTATTTAATAGACAATAAAAGACAAACGAGATTTTGCATAACAACATAAAGAGAAAAAAAAATTCTAAAAGAAATCAATCCAGTTTATCATTTCAGTCGAAAATGATAAACAAAATGTTCAAACTATGCTAGCCAGCTTTGAATGACGTTCTTTTTAAAAGTGTTAAAACATACAATAAGGGTAATGTTTACCATTTACACGGAGATGAATATGGTTGGCAGCTCGTCAGAGAATGTTGCCCGTCTCCATGCGATGACTCAGATATAAAAGGTTGGTTGTGCAAATAATTTTTTTTTAATTCTTGAATAATTGACTGCAATTTTCAAGTTTGACATATGTGACAGATTCAGGCATAGAAAAAAAGGACGTACAAAAATACGTGTAGAAAAGGGTGTATAGAAAAAAAACCTTAAAAAAACAAGACGTACAGATTCGAATGTATTGATGTAGATGCAGAGAAAAAAAAAGTCATGACTAAAGTATGGTTTTATTTGAAATTTAGCTGTATTCTAAATTTATCTCAGCAACAGCTTGTTTTTTTTTATGAATACTTCCAGGAGAAATTATAAAATGAGTTATAGACGAGTTTATCCAATTTATCGTCTCAGCTGGAAATCATAAAACAAACGTCCAAATTTGTCTGTTCCATTTTGATTTACGTCGTTTCTATAAGTATTCTTGGCGGTCTTTTTTGCGTATTATTTTCATTAGTGTCAAAATATAAAATCAGGATAGACTTCGCTGTGTACAAAAGGGACAAGTATTACCTTTTCTTTTAAATTTTTGACTCTGTTCAAACAATCAGATGAGAATCGTACAAAAAGTTTTAACCTCAGAAATCGTACGCTAAGTCATATTATAATATTCTTGAAAAACTTTGCTGTCTTTGTAAGATATAACTATAAGATTATAGGAAAGATAAAGTGACGGCAATATCTTTCAAAAAACCTTATAGTACAATTTAGTGTACGATTTCATCTGATTTTTTGGACGAGGAGAGTAATTGAATTCAATTTTCATGTTTGACGTGTCTGACAGATTTGGGTATATTGAATGGACATATAGATTTCGAAGTACGAAAAAGCAAATGTCATTATTAAAGTATGATTTTATATCAGATTTAGTTGTATTTTGAATTTCTCTCAAAAAAGGATTTCTATTTTTATTTATCAATATTCTCCGAAGAAATCATAAAGCAGATTATATAAAATATTATTTTCATATGAAATAACAGACAAAAAAGACTCATACCTTTCGTAAGGCTAATGTATCTCTGATAAAAAAAAACAGTCGTAGACAGCTGGAAGATGTTTTATTTTGTAGAAAAATGTTCGCTCTATCATTCTATTGAATAAAAACAAAATTCTATTCACGAATAGTAGTAGCTAAAAAGCTATTGGCTTAAGGTTTTTTAAGATACTCTTTCTTCAGAAAACTAGCAACTATTTTTGTCTTCGAAAAATTCTGGTTATAAATAGGATTCTTTACTCAAATCTCCATTTTGAGTCTTCTTTATGTCTGCGGTAGCATAAAAATATTGAAAATAAACATCCTCAAGTAGTTCCTGCAGCTATTGTATGTATACGTTTATACAATTTGTACTGAAGTCATTCATCAAGGTTTATTTTCAATTTTTTCCGCTACCGTAAGCACTAGAAAGAATCCGAAGAGTGATTCGAGTAGAAAAAAAATCGTTATCAACAGGAATATCAAAAAGATAAAAACTATTATCTACTTTTCAAAGATAGAAACTCGACAAAACCAAAACTCTAGTTTTTTCATACCTCGAATACATGAATATTATAATGTTTGTCTACGAAAGAAGACGTCTTTTATCAATATGCAGCGATTTGATTGAAGGTCAAAGAATGGCTTTCATAAGCTTACTATATCTCGACTAAAACATGCTGTTGAGAATTCGACAACATCTCATTTTGTAAAGAATTGCTTACTCTACCGTTTTATTTAGTCTAAATAATGTTGAACTTCAGCACTCTCAGTATTGAAAAACTAGAGTTTCGATTTTCTGAAGCTTGTATCTTTGAAAATCTGATTATAATTAGTATTTCCTTATAGTCTTGTTAGAAGTCATTTTATTTGACTCGAAAATCTATTTGAATTTCTTTCTAATGCTTACAGTAGTAGAAAAACAAAACTAAAAATAATTCATCTTGGATGGTTTTGGTTCCCACTGTGCATCTATTCGTCACTAACATTCAATATTAAAACTATTGCGAATGAATTTACATTAACTTTATATTCATTTAATGTGTTGTTCTCTCAGTAATATATTTCTTTGATTTTTTTTGTTTTGGTCGACTTGATTGAAGGAAGTAATCAGTGAAATAGAAACTTGTAGGAGTACGAATCACTACAATTCAATGAATATGCACATTGGATATTTCTGTAATTTTTCGAGTTGAAAAATGACAGAATAGTTTCGAAGAATTATTATTTTTGCTCTATGTAAATAAAAATAATCACGCTCTTTTAATTTCAAGCTGTTGCTGTGTCTGTTTGCGTGATTGTACTTTGTTCGGGGGCGATGTAAATGTCTTCAATAAAAATATAAACAGTAGCGATGTTCTATTGTACACAAACAAAACAGCGTCAAACGGTTGATCATGCCCTTTTTTTTTTCTTTTTTAACGTTTTTTTTCAATCATTTTAACAATTTCTATTATTAATCACTGTATTCTGAATTCTTCATCTTTCT